TATGTAGGTCTATGGAGGGCTATGTATGGTTAGGTAGGGCTATGAATGGTTATCTAGGGCTATGTAGGGCTGTGTAGAGCTATGTATGGCTATGTAGGGTTATGTATGGCTATGTATGGCTATGTAGGGCTATGTAGGGCAATGTATGTCTGTGTATGCCTGTGTATGGCTGTGTATGGCTATGCATGGCTATGTAGGGCTATGTATGGCTGTGTATGCCTGTGTATGGCTGTGTATGGCTATGTATGGCTATGTATGGCTATGTATGGCTATGTATGGATATGTATGGCTGTGTATGGCTATGTATGGCTATGTAGGGCTATGTAGGGCTATGTATGGTTATGTAGGGCTATGTATGGTTATGTAGGGCTATGTAGGGCTGTGTAGAGCTATGTATGGCTATGTAAGGCTATGTATGGATATGTAGGGTTTTGTATGGCTATGTAGGGCTATGTATGGCTGTGTATGGCTGTGTACGGCTGAGTAGGGCTATGTATGGCTATGTATGGCTGTGTATGCCTGTGTATGGCTGTGTATGGCTATGTATGGCTATGTAGGGCTATGTATGGCAATGTAGGGCTGTGTATTGTTATGTAGGGGTATGTAGGGCTTTGTATGGCTGTGTATGGCTATGTATGGCTATGTATGGCTATGTAGGGCTATGTATGGCTGGGTATGGCTATGTATGGATATGTAGGGCTATGTATGGCTATGTAGGGCTATGTACGGTTATGTAGGGCTCTGTATGGCTGTGTATGGCTGTGTAGGGCTGTGTATGGCTATGTAGGGCTATGTATGGCTATGTATGGCTATGTAGGGCTATGTATGGTTATGTAGGGCTATGTAGGGATTTGTAAGGTTATGTATGGCTATTTACGGCTATGTTTGGCTGTGTAGTACTATGTATGGCTGTGTAGGGCTGTGTAGGGCTATGTAGGGCTATGTATGGCTATGTATGGCTATGTAGGGCTATGTATGGCTATGTAGGGCTATGTATGGCTATGTATGGCTATGTAGGGCTATATATGGCTATGTAGGGCTATGTATGGCTATGTAGGGCTATGTATGGCTATGTATGGCTGTGTAGGGCTATGTAGGGCTGTGTATGCCTGTGTATGGCTGTGTATGGCTATGTATGGCTATGTAGGGCTATGTATGGCAATGTAGGGCTGTGTATGGTTATGTAGGGCTATGTAGGGCTTTGTAGGGCTGTGTATGGCTATGTAGGGCTATGTATGGCTATGTAGGGCTATGTAGGGCTATGTATGGTTATGTAGGGCTATGTAGGGCTATGTATGGTTATGTAGGGCTATGTATGGCTGTGTAGGGGTATTTATGGCTGTGTATGGCTATGTATGGCTGTGTATGGCTATGTATGGCTATTTAGGGCTATTTATGGCTATGTAGGGCTATGTATGGTTATGTAGGGCTGTGTATGCCTGTGTATGGCTGTGTAGGGCTGTGTATGGCTATGTAGGGCTATGTACGGCTATGTATGGCTGTGTAGGGCTATGTATGGTTATGTAGGGCTATGTAGGGCTGTGTATGGTTATGTAGGGCTATGTATGGCTGTGTTGGGGTATGTATGGCTGTGTATGGCTATGTATGGCTATGTAGGGCTATGTAGGGCTATGTATGGCTGTGTATGGCTATGTATGGCTATGTAGGGCTATGTATGGCTATGTAGGGCTATGTATGGTTATGTAGGGCTGTGTATGGCTGTGTATGGCTGTGTAGGGCTGTGTATGGCTATGTAGGGCTATGTACGGCTATGTATGGCTGTGTAGGGCTATGTATGGTTATGTAAGGCTATGTAGGGCTGTGTAGGGCTATGTATGGCTGTGTAGGGCTGTGTATGGCTATGTATGGCTATGTATGGCTATGTAGGGCTATGTATGGCTATGTAGGGCTATGTATGGCTGTGTATGGCTGTGTATGGCTGTGTAGGGCTTTGTAGGGCTATGTATGGCTATGTATGGCTATGTATGGCTATGTATTGCAATGTAGGGCTATGTATGGCTATGTAGGGCTATGTAGGGATATGTAGGTCTATGTAGTATTATGTAGGAATATGTACACTGCTTCTAGTAACTAATGGGGAACCACTATATGATGCTTACACCACGTACCTATCAATAAAACTGTGGAATATCCGCTGACCACGAATCCGTGACGTAGTGCCGAAAAATTACTGTTCGTAGCTCTCCGCAAAGGAGCTGCGCTTTTGTTAGGCAGAAAAACCATTGAAACAAGTATTCGTGCATCTGATGGCTGGGTAAGATTGGCATCATTTTCTACTCGTAGATGGTAAGGAATTTACGAAGTTTCCTCTTATTCACCGTTCTCTTACTCTTTCGAGATCTTTCATGATCGTTTGTTCGATTGGATTTTGACCCAAATACCCTTTTAACAGTATTCACGAACAGATTTGTGCTATGAAACGTTTTGTTCACTAAATCATGTTTGAACAAAGTGAAAGGGAAAGAAACATCGCCTAAAGGGACAAGAACTTAGAAATAATTAGCCCTTTTCAAAAACACCGGAAGCACAATTGAGCACCTCGGTTCCTTTACAACCACATAATCCGCTGCGACAAAATATTTGCTATTAACGTGATTTATAGTACGATTCAATGTGGATAATTTAGTTACAATCTGAGGAAAGTCGAAAGAGACGTTATTAGCTGAATAATAGGGAAATATTTGTATCTGGTACAAAGTCCGAATGATCACAACATAGTATCTACGTTTGCACAGAATTTCCCAGAAATCAGTTTGAACTCCTGCATAACTTACACCTATTTAAGTAATTAATTCGTAAATTTCACTCCCTGAGTTGAGTTCCAAAAGCTGTAACCTATAAAATTCTAGAACCATCCTTAATAACACAACACCTTGGATTTCAATTTAACTGAAAACAGACCGTTACAAAAAAGAAGAAAAGAGAAGTTAGCTGTCAATAACGAGCAGTATTCAAAAGTTCTGTCGTTGTGTTCACTTTCTTGCAGCATGTGATCAGCTCTAGTAACGGCCAATTTTTCAGGAAAAACCCCGTTTAAACTGTTACTTCTATAGATGCTCTGTAATGAAAAGCACTTGCCAGGAACAGCGACCTCTTTTGTAATGAATCAATGGATACTCTTTTCCTTTGTTTTTAAGTTCTTGTAAGAGACTGCTCGGTCAACAAAGCATAAAACTTCTTGGCTTAATCAATAGTTAATTTAATTTTGTTATTCGTGTTAATGAACATTAAGTTTGTATATAGGCTCCCTTCTATAGTTTTTAGGCAAAATTCAATTGAAGCAGAAAGTGTGATTTCTACGAGCATTGCTAATCAAGAATTAGCCATACATTTCGCGAGCTTAATCGGTTTATTTAAGTCTACTGACAGCATCATTGTTATTCTGAATATTGTCGATGACCTTTGTTTTAAACAGTTTTTAGACCTTTTTACGAGTATCAAATCTGAAGTAACTAAAAATAGTATTTCCATTCCTATTATTTCCTTATTTCTTTTTCGATTAAAGCAAGAGTCGAGAGTCTGAGATAGGAATATTTTTACGCCAACTGAGTTCGCAGAAAGAGTTGGATCCCACCCCAGAACCTTCCGGTAACCTTGCCTTGGGTGTTATTTGTTGTTCGATCTCGTTATTTACGTGTTTAGACTTGTTTTGTTATCTAATCTGCAAACTACTTGCAAATTATAAAACATTCGTCAGTAGTTGATACATGTGGCGGGGTTCAATTTATTATCTCATCCATTAAGTACACCGCTATCCTGCTCGTTTCGATTGATTCGGCGGTTCCGTTTCGTTTATTTTCTTGTTTGCAGTGGGTAGGTCTCCTACTTTGCAGTTTTCTTTTCAGCTGCTTTTGCATTTCCGACGATTTTATTTCGGCCGTATGGTCAGTTCTGCCGAGGCCCTTCAGTCCGTTTCGGTGGATTCGTTTCGGTTGTTTCTTTTTAGTGTTGTTTCGAGTTTTAGTACATGCCTATTATAAAATCATTCCATCATATAACTAGTAGCATAACTAAACCAAAAGATGTAACTCACCTCTTATGCCAAGATTCTTTTTACATTCGCCGATGTTTTCTCTCGCAGTCTCTGCAGAACGAGGAGAGCAAATATACTCTCAGTCCGGGAAAGTTGCTTGACGTCACATGACATTTTATTTTCTAGCGGCTCTCTTTGAGTGACTTCCTGTAACGTCTTCTACGTCTAGCGACTGCTTTAAATTTGTCTTAGTTTTATCTAAGGGTGCTTTTATTGAATTTCCTTAAGCTGGCTAATTTAACTTGTCATGTAGATTTTTCAGTTCGTTCAGGTCAATTTGCTGTACATCCTTGCGATTTCTTACTGTGTAATAGTGTGAAATTGATATAGCATCTGAGAAATGGACCTCATGTAATACACCGTGAGGTCGCGCAAGCTCATGCAATTAAGGCAGGAAAAATTAAATGTTTTCTACATGACCAAAAAGCAAAGCTTGGTAGCTCAACTGGAATTTATCTCCCGTCTTTGAGCTTTAATCACGCGGCCATTTGGAAAGATATCGAAAAACGGTCACCACGATTGTATATGATTGAGATAAATGAAAAATTTTGTTATGACCGATGGCATGTGAACATCCGGTGTATCAGCGCCGTATAAATGAACAGTCATTGTCTTTTTAAATACTTCTGTTCCTTTGTGGTTCAATGATGGCGACATTAGATCAACCTTCAATTTTATCCCCCCTTGACTCAAAGCAGGAACTATAAAATTTTGATTTATAGTGCTTTAAAAGGCAAGGCTGGTCGAACGGCTATGAATTGCAAAGCAGAGAGCTTCTCGATAAATACTTTACTTCATTAGAATGCAAAAAGGTAATAGCTACATTTCTTACCCCCTAGTATATTCTCAATTTCCCTTAACGTCTCTTTCCATGGCCAACAGATGTTATTCTACATTGATTCACAGAAGAGGAGCAATGTGATCTGTTTATCACGTGATACCAAGGGACTTTCCCGAGACCCTTCCCAGCAACGAGTTATTTCCGTCTCTGAGACGCAAGAAGGAAGTTAAATTTCTTCCATTTGAGAGGCGTCCTGTTTTCCAAGAGAAAGCTTTGCTGATTGGATGCAGAAAGTGTGGTGTGAAAAGCAAAACTTGGTATAACTTTGAGGTAGGAAAGAACGCCATTTGATCCCCATTTGCCTGATCTGGAAGGCGATATTTAGACTTGAATCCTCTTTAATGTCAACTGACTCGTCAGTGGCAGTGATTTCTTTTCTGTATGTCTCTTTCGCGTTGGCCGAAAGTATCAGGCTAATTCTACTTATTATAACTTGTAGATGCGGTATGAGTGAGTAGCTCGATATATCACAACAATAAAACGTTTCTGTCGGTGAACCATTTTGTCGAACGAGCACAGTTCTTTGTTCGTGTTCATCGTAATACTGAAGTATTTTATTCCATAATTTCCCTATATAGCTTAGAATGATCGATATTTCTCGGTCACCAAAGTCAGATTTAAAACGATTCTTTTGGTTCTGCAGAAAACGTTATCTTGGTAATTTTATGTATTTGTCTGTACCTGTTCAACATATTGTGACCCTTCATCAATTAAATTTGATCATGTCGGATAGTTTTATACACTTAAAGCGTAATTGGCTGGATAAGAAAAATTTCAAGCAGATCAGTTTAAATACGGCTGTGGCCGGATATCGAAAGAAGGATCCAACAGATCAGTGAATGGGGTAAAATCGACATCGAAAAATTACATGTCAGATGTATCAACAAACGGAAAAATGATTATACCATGGAAGAGAGAAAGGAATGCCGGCTCACGATTCGTCTAGACCATTCGTACATACTGCGTTTTAGAGTGTCTGCGACCCAGGCTACTTATGGGACCGTTGATAGGCGAAAGCTCGTGTTTTAACGACCATTTTTAACCACAAAAGTTAAAGGACACTCTCTAGAACAATAATTTATATACTTTCAAACATGCTGTAGTGCTTAAGGACAATATTCTCTTGGCCGTTTTTGGATAAAAGACATTGTTAGTTTGTACCTTGTTCGTTTCCCATTTCAGACCACCTAAACTGGTACCATTGAGAACGTTCATTCGTATGCATGATTTATGAAAAATCAAAAAGCAAATTATCTTGAGGACATCATGTGCTTTAAATGGAGAAAATAATATTGTTCGATTTTAACATGGAAAAGTCTTTTTGTTCTTTAAAAACACCTAGGCTGCATTACTTTATAGAGAAGCTGAACCCGGTAGGGTTACCCAGTGGCTTTAGGGTGCGTGATTTACCATCTGGCCACCCGTTCGTTATATTTAAATTATAAAATGACTCCGAGGCTTTCTGGTCACTTCTAAATTTGGTTTGGTTCTCTTTGTGGTCAAGTCTCCTCTGGGAATGGCGAGACAATGGAGTCGTGAAAAATTTGTCATTTTTTCCCTTAAGCCTCTGATTCATGTTTGAATTTTGAAATATCAAACGTGGGCTATTTCCCCATTCGTTACGCGGCCCAGGTCCCAGCCAAATTTTGGTCTAAATCCCAGTTACCAAATCTGAAATCCCATTTTCAGAGCTCGTTTGCGAACTGAAGCACATTACCATAATGAAGTAAAAGCGCCGATTGATGCCGTGGATTGACGATAATTTCTGATTCTGCTGGTAAACACTCTTTCTCTTCCAACCCTTGTTAGCATAAACATATTAAAACCAATCTTGTCTTCCTCATTTTTGCACCTGGACCGTAAAACTCGTTAATTCTCATCTTGCCTATATATTTAAAGCTTCTACAGCGACCCGTGCAAAGCACACATGCACGCGCTTGGAGTACTTTAGATGGCCACTGATTGAACTCTTACTCTTATTCACTTAGGGTGTTTTACCACAAAGCAACTCAGGCTTCCACCATCGTCTACCAATTTCACATCGTCTGTTTCTTCGAAAAAAGGCGTTTCTCATGCATTAGAGGCAACTTGCTCCCTTTTTCTTTCTAAAGGTCTTTGTTTGCTTTTTGGGTGTTTTACCAAGTTATTGGGTATGTTGCCTGTGCAGGAGTGCCACAAAAGTTGGAGTCTGAGTTTGCCGGGGAACGCAATGAACTCTGACTAAAGACGACGTTTATTGTTCCCTTTTTTAGGGGAGGGGGCGTCTGTGCACAGGCTAGATCACTCGGATGACCAAGGAACGCGATTCACTTCTTCTAGGCATTTCCATATGTTCCTCAATGGCCCGCGATACGAACAGCGCTTTATTGGGAGTTACCGGGTTCAACGAAGTCCACATAAAACATTTCTACTGCATGATCCCCGAACCCCCTCTTCGCGGCGGAATCCTCAGTTCCATGCCCGCATTTGAATTCTGTCTTACGCAAACGTGCCCATGTTATTTTCCTGACAACAAACTGCTGAACTGACCAGACCAGCTAACTGTGTTGCGGCTCGGGGCATGAGACACAAAGGCAAAAAATAAGACTGACATGATTCTATGTGTTTACTGAGGTCTACTGGTACAGAATATTATTTCTTTTATCTCAAAGAATAGGCACATGTGAGCAATCGTGTCAAATAATATATTCGAAGACCATCAAAGGAGAGATATCCCATTCCCAATTTAGAAATTTTCTATCCCTTTCCCAGTGGTTAAATCCCAGCCCAAGTGCAGTCAATCCCATTTTCTCAGGACCCAGATAGGCAAATCCCAATTCCCATTTTACCCCTTTAGGACCCTCCCGTAAGAATGGTGATTTTGGCGCGATTTCTGTGACGGAGCAAATTTGAAGGTGCCCGATCTCTAAAGTAGAGAGTCTCAAATCGGATAGCTGTTCTACTATACCGGATAGCTTTTCGCGTCGGCACGCCGGAAAAGCTATCCAGCATAAGATGAACATAGCCATAAAAGGGCAAGAATGTGTATAACGCGAGACACTTAAATGACATATATAGCAACAAATGGAATAAAAGGACTGCCTTCAAGTTACGATAATAAACGCAAAACGCAGTAAAGTGCAAGAAAAGAAAGAAATCACTTCCAGTAGTTATTTAGAAATTATCTTTCGGTGAAGTATAGTGGGTAGTAGGTTTTGAAATAATCAGAACGCGTCCGTTGTTTGAGTCACTGTTCTTTTATTACAGGTCAAACTAGTACATGGCCAGCCAGGTGCTTGCATATATTTTGAATATTTTCGCACCATGCTACCGATAAAGTGGATAAGATGTGTCTTGTTTCCAACGTTACTGTTTAGCTCCCAACAGTATCCAGGAGCGGATGCGAGCGGAAACAGTAGTAAGACAATATTTAAGTGTTCATGGTATTTAGCGTTTTACCTCAGCGGAAGGGGAACCTAATTGAAGTTGGATAAAATGTGAAATAGTCCTTTTCATCATTTTTTGTATGTTTTGTTTTCCCATTTCAGTCCACCAGAGAAACGTTTCTTTCAAAAGTCGTTCTATCTACGGACATACGTCTTAGGCAAGCTTAGGCCCCGTTCACACGAATCCTGATATTTTTGAAACAGCATCGTTTTTATTGGTTTAAGGTCCCGTCCACACGAACACAGGTTTAAAAAGGTAGTTTCACAAATGTTTGAAATACATACTGAATAACATTTCTCATAATTTCTGTAAAAAAGAAGATGGTAAGACGAGTTTTAATACCATATGAATATTAATTTCATTTACTTATCTGGATTTCTGAAAAGAGGGCTTTATGCTATTCTGTAATTTCTCCCTCTCCGTCTAGGCTTGTAGATTTTTGTTATTACTTTTTTGACGTAGTTTAGGATTTGCTTGAAATTCTCATTTGCCAGACGTTTCACCACCACAGCTCCTCCTCACCGTCAACCCCTTGGTCATTTTCGTCTTTTTTCTTCTACCCCTGTCCTTTTTATTTTTCGATATTTTGTCTAAAACTAAAAAAATGACTTGATTTTTTTCCCCTGCAAGCTAATTACAGATGTTGTTGCATTTATGAAGACAAAGTGTACAACCTGGCTCCTCTACAAAAAGATGGTCCGAGGTTTGTAAAACACTAACGGCAATAACTTGAGGTAGCATTCCAATCGTTTTGAAAACTGAGTCAAATCTGCACTGAAACGTAAACATAGTCCAGCAATAGGCTACTTACAGGGGATAGGCCCCCGTAGCATCCTGTCTGGTATTTTGCGACTAAATGTTCGAAAAAAAGTTGGATTTCTATTGCCCTCAGATCTTGATATTCCTCTTATCTCATAGTTCTGAACATACCCGTCACCCCTGCCGGTCACCTATTTCTCTTCTATTACAAAAAACCTCTGAAAATATTTCCCAATGTCTGCTTTTGTTTTCTAGTGTCAAATACTAACACTATAACAGTATTCCCATATGGAATGAATCCCTCAGCAAGGTGAAAATGTCTGAAAACAAGGAATTTTAGCCAAGTTATGTGTTTCAAGCAGAGTAAGGCGTTATAACCAGGGGTCAATTTAACAAAAATTTTAAACACGTGTAACTTACAAGTGTAGCTATTGTTCTCAGACTCCAAAACAATGGCTACAGTTGCAAATTACACGTGTAAAAGTTTTATTAAATTGACCCCAGATCCAAAATTTATTTAGGAGGAAAAAGGTCCGCCTTTCACCAAAAAAACACAACAACAAATGTATGAATAAATTCAAAATGGCCGGTTTGAATATAAACAGTAGAAAAAATAGTATACATAGAAGAAGAAGAAGTATAACGTAAGCTTACTTCTCGTGATTTATTTGGTTTTCCCCCTTTCCGCTGTTCTACTGGCTCTTTTCTTCATCTACAGTGAGATATACGAAACTATCCACTCCAACTGTCCGAGATGTTTTTCAATTTTTCACAAAAAAAACTCTGCGAGAGAAACGTTTTAATGTCAACGAAGCAACTCGATTCCAAAGCGAGAACGCTGTTCTGGCAAGAAACTCAAACACCTGATTAGTGGACGTATAAATTTTTTTTTTTCATCTACTGATTGGCTAAAACTCATT